ATATCTGTTATCTTGTGAAAGGCAGAGCTTTCATTTCATTCCATTTCTGCCCTTACCTCTGCTACCCTACATGAGCTCCATCCCCCATGATAATGGTTCCTCATCTGTGTGCAAACCAGTCAAGCTTGTGGACCTGGTGTGTAGGGATGTGGGGAATGGATGCTGTCTTCCTGGGGGCTGTGATGAGCAGGATATGATCTCTTCTTCCATTTAGAGATTTTTCATTCTGTCCAGAATAAATGATTATTTACAATGGAAGGGTAATTTAGTAGAAGGGAAGTTATAGAGTTGCTGTGGTCATCACTTCTGAGAGAAACTTATTGGAGCTATCTCATGATGCTATATCCACATCACTGTGGACATCATCAGAGTGCCAGGCATGATTGTCTCCATCCTGGATTCAGGGTGCTGTGTGACTCTCACTGGCTCTAAAGTGTGTGACATTGAAATTTGAAAGGAAATAAGTCAAGGGAAACCCAGTTGATAGTGCCTCAATTAATAACTCAGTGTTTGTTCCTACAATCAGGCACTTTGTTTTTCAGAACTAGGACAAGTGACCTGGTTTTCAGGGCATTGGAAAGAAAACAGAGAACAAAATGAAGACCCCATTCCAGTATGTAGCTTACTTTGCACCCTAGTAGAAGGTACTATTGGCAGCCATGTGGGCCAGGAGGAGAATCAAGAGACCAACCCATGTCTTCCCATGAGCCAGCTGGCGTTTGGGCTGGGAGACAAGAAGAGCAACACTGCCCCCTCCTCCCATAGACAACTGGCTGATTCAGAGGAACACAGGTTGAGATGATAGCAACTGAAGTAAAAAAGATAACTTAATGCTTGTATTGTTTGATTGACTTTGCAGGCCTAAAGCTGGTATTCTGAGCACCTATTTGAAGGATAACAATATGCAACTGTAGAGGATTTCCTTCTGTCTTGTTTATGAAATCCAAAGTTTTGTTCTGTTTTATTCCTGTGTCTAGTAACCTGAACAACTATTTTGAAATTAGCAATATGCAATATAACAACCATTGTTAAATTCCTATCATCTTATTTGAAATCCCATATTGGTATTGATTTTTTTATTTTGGTTTGTTAAGCTTGTTGATTTTTCTGTTTTTTTTTCTCTTTAAAATAAAAAAAATCACTCAACCAAATAAAGGAGCAAAGCTAAAAAAATGAAGAAAAGTTACTATTGTGAAAGGGGAAATTAATTACAAGACATGATACATTGATTATGTGTTCCAAGATGGGGAGACAAATGATTGGAATAATAGTAAATGAGACCTCACTCAATGGTGACCTTGGACCAAAATCAGAACACAATACTGTGGTCTGTATGGAACTTTTAGTGCATTACAACATAATTCTTTGCACTTTTTAAAATTTTGAAAGTAGTAAAATACAACAGAACAAGACAGAATAAAGCCAACTGAGACCATGTAGTGAAGTTGGTACAGAACTTCACAGCAGTTTACTGGGATAACAGTAATAGGTATTGCAGTATATTTTGTTATCTTTATAATAGTTGTTCTTTCAATAATGTATATCAAAATAAAACGAAATACAGAACATTATAGAACTTATCAAAACAGAATATTGAATAGAGCAGTACCATTAATCAGAATAAAGTAAAAACAGTAAGTAATAAAAATATTTGCCTTCAAAGAGATGGTAGAAGGAAATCCCCCTTATTTGCTATGGTCAACCTCCCAAGAGCTGCTCAGATTTCTGGTTCCCATTTGCTAATGGAGGGATAGGGGAAAAGGGATAGGGGAAGTGGGATATTTGACTCTAGGCTTTGCACGAGTAGGTTCACTATTGCTTAGCATGGAGGCAGGCTGGTTGCTTGGTTTCCCAGCGTCCTAAGTTCCAACATGGTGTGGATCTCAGAAGACACTGGTTCTCCCCCTGGAGGGGCTGCAGTCTGCCACACCACAGCCACTTACCAGGGAGGTGAGCTGCTTACTTGGTTTCCCAGTGTCCTAAGTTCCAACATGGCATGGATCTCAGGAGCCGCTGGTGGTTCTCCCCCTGGAAGGGCCACAGTCTGCCACACTGCAGCCACTTACCAGGGAGGCGAACTGCTTGCTTGGCTTCCCAGGGTCTTAAGTTCCAACATGGTGTGGATCTCAGGAGACACTGGTGGTTCTCCCCCTGGAAAGGCCACAGTCTGCCACACTGCAGCCACTTACCAGGGAGGCAAGCTGCTTGCTTGGTTTTCAGGACCCTAAGCTCCAACATGGTGTGGATCTCCCCCTGGAAGGGCCGCAGTCTGCCACACCACCAACGCTTACCAGGGAGGCAAGCTGCTTGCTTGGTTTTCCAGGATCCTAAGCTCCAACATGGTGTGGATCTGCTCCTGGAAGGACTATAGTCTGCCACACTGCCACCGCTTACCAGGGAGGCGAGCTGCTTGCTTGGTTTCCCAGGGTCCTAAGTTCCAACATGGCGTGGATCTCAGGAGACACTGGTGGTTCTCCCCCTCGTAGGGCTGCAGTCTGTCACACTGCAGCAGTGTACCAGGGAGACGAGCTGCTACAACATAATTCTTACAGAGAAGGGAGTGATGGAACCAGAGAACAATGTAGGTGAGCACATGACCTTCAACCTGGCATTGCATTTCTTTTCTCTCAGAGCAGGGTTGTGACTAGGTCACATTTTGCTGTAATTGTTATTTCAAAAGTATCCTGGGCTCTCAGGTGTGCATAGGAGCACACCCTGATTTCCAATAGCAGGTCTGGGGAGCTGCAGGTCCTGTGCCCCATGTACAGGCTGGGGTCATGTGCATTTCCTAGATTGTTTCTTTTAACACCAGAGGAAAGGACATCTCCAGCTTTGGTTACCCTGGCTTTGAGGAACAGCTGAGATGCCTCTTCTGGTGCCTACTTGTAGGTACGTGAGGTCAGCTCCCATGTCATTGCCCAAATCATAGCAACTTGGTTTAGAATGTGCTCCCTGGGCGGCTATCCTGAAAGTCTTGTAAGCAATGGCTTGAGCAATGGCCAGTCTCGCTAATTTTTTTCCCTTATTGGGAAGCTTCATCCCACACTGCCTGTTATTCCATGGCTGAATGCATTGACATGAGTTTTTGTTCCCTTTTAAAAAATCACACTTCTAAAAAACAAAGGAGAGGCTTAATCACTTTGAGGGCTAAAGCTGGAGTCTTAAAGCTATTTTAATAATGATGAAAAGTGTTTGGTTAATCTCTCCCTTTCCTGTTTCTTTCTCTACACCATTCTGTGAGCTTACATTACAGACCCTTTCATGTATGTGGAATGTGGGTTTCTAAGAGAAGTCATCCCTTTTCTGGAGTTGAACCCTTGTCTTTAAGATCAAAAACCTTCCCTAGAAGTTAAAAAAATAAGAAAACAAGGAATTCCACACTTGTAGTCAACTTTCTATTGCTGTGACAAAATCCTGGAGAAAGTCAACTTAAAGCAAACAAGATTTACTTTGGTTTATGGTATCAGTCCATAGTCACTTGGTCTGGGGTTCTTTGGTCCTATGGGGAGGCTGTCTCTCGTGCAGAAATGCAAGATAGTGTGTGGTGGAGTGAGGATGCTTACTTTGTAGTTGTTAGGAAGCAAAGAGACAGAGGTAGGGAGCTTGGGGCCCCAGGCCCCAGGCCAGGACATACTTGTTTAGGTACATCCTTGTGATCTACCTCCTTCACTTTGGCTCCGCCTCCTGTGGTTGCCACTAAGTGGTAACGGTTCATTCATTTATGAAACATCAGTGGATTTACCAATCGGTGAGAACCAAGTCTTTATGACCCACTTTCCCAGCCCAATCTGTGAACATGCTGCCTGGAGGCCCAGCTTCTGAGGGACACATATATTCCACATGTATAGAGACACAGTACCCACATACAGTATGAAATACACCACATGATCAATTTAAATAGATATCTAAAATTAACTACATACACACTTGAGTGACAAGATAAAATAATCCATTAAATCTTTATTATTCAAAATCCACTTAATTAAATATCATATACATTTGCTGTGTCTCTTCCCGATCCCCATAGCAGAGCCTGGTTTATGGGAAGGCTTTCTTTGTCTTATTACTGTGTCTCCTCCCAAGCCCCGTGGTGGAGCCTCAATATCATATACATTTAAATCAAGGTCAATAAGATAAAATTAAAAAGGCCTGTGTAAGATACTTATCAGTGAGTTTCCAGTGAGGGTTCATAACCACCCAAGTGAATTAAAGTTCCCATTTCCAGTACTTGATGTGACAACCCCATGCATAGATATTTAGATAATAATTTGTGAGGAGGCTTTGTGTGGCATATGACATGTAAAAAAAGCATATGTGTTTAGTGTACAGATGTTGATGACCTCAGGAATAAGTGTGAATTTTGAAGACGATGTCACCATCCTGGGCATTTCCATCATTTCCCCACATTTCCCCTGCCCCTTCACTCTTGTTTTTATTTTTTGAAACAGCGTCTTGCTATGTAGCTCAGGCTGGCCTTGAATTCACTGTGAGATCCTCTGCCTCAGCCCTTAGTTATTCTTATCACTTTGTTTCTCAAAACACTGAGGAGGTGTATTTGGAGCAAATCTCAGGTGCACAATTGAACAGTTCCAGTTTTGGCACTCAGCTATCTAGTAGTCAGAGAGATTTCTTGGACAGAGTACCCATCTGCTGCAAAATTGCTGGTCCCCAGGCCCTTTGCGAGCTCTACCTTCTCTGCCCACATTCTCGGGTTTAGTTTCTGCATGTGCCCGTCTCAGAATCTCCATCCTGCTTCAGTGAGCTCTACGGGTGGGACTCACTCTTCCTGGTTGCATCTCTCCTTCTCTGCGCTGCCCCTTCGATCTCCCACAGGAGACCCCGCAGATCTGGTTGACAGCGCTACACAAATTTCCACAACTTTGTGGCTGGAGGGTGAGAGCATGAAACCCACAGAGGCATTCAGGCCCAGCCCAGACTGGGGAGGTTATGGGCAGAGCCTGGTCTTGTGCAAGAGCTGTGCCCCTTCCTGTTTAGCAGCTGATGTTGCCTTCTGGTGACAAGGACTGGCACCCAGGCTGCCTGTTCCCTGGTGCCCCCTGTGCTGGACTGCTGTAGAGACCTGGCTGAGGCAGCACCATGCCCTCTGGCCTTGTTCTGCTGCTTGGACTGAGTGAGCACTGCAAGGAAGTGAGGTGGGTGGTGGGAAGATCAAGAACTCAGATGCCTAATCCACCACCCAGGCTTCTCACAGGGATATTCCTCTGTGAGCTCCTGGCTGGAGTTAGATGAGACTTTGGCTCTCTGAGCCCAGGGTTGGGGGTCACTGGGTCCCAGGCAGAAGCCTCTCACCAGGTCTCTCTGTTTCAGTGTCTGCCCTGGAGCAGAGGATCTGGGCCCACAGTGGTGAGTTTCCCTTCCTTCAGTGTTGGGATCTGTGAGTGAAGTGGGCTGAGGGTGGGAGGAACCTGAGGGTCTTGGGCTGAGGCAGGAAGGAGTCTACCTGTGCTGCCACTCACAATCTTCCCTGTTCATCTGCGTTGAGGATTGGTTCAGGGCCAGGTCACCAAGAACATTAACAATGTAAACAGGAAGCACCACTGAGGTAGACACTGCAATGCAGACACAGGAATGGGGACAGATTCACAGGCTCTAAGTCTCCCTGAGGGTGTGGACTAGCAGTTTTTTGATGTATCCTCTGTCTTTTTTTCCAATTCTGTCACCTGGCAAGGTTCTTGCTCTCTGAGTGGTCAGTTCAGGAGGGCCTGTCCAAGAGACTGAGTTGAAGTAAAATGCAGACCTCAGCCTCTGCTAATTCTCTGGCCTTGTGGAAGGTAGTTTTTTTTTTTTTTAATCGGTACTGGGGATCGAACTCACGACTGCCTGCTTGCAAGGCAGGCGCTTATGCCGCTGAGCTAAACCTCCAGCCCTGGTAGTTTTTTTTTTGTCACTGATTTTTCTCCCTTATGAGAGTCAAATAAAATTCATGTTCATGAAACTATTCATTGTATTTCCACATTCTTAGGGACTATGCTCAGGTCATGGTGTATACGGTATTGATACTTTGAACACAGCTCCCTAACAGTCAGATTCATTTCTGGTTAATACAGATATCTGAGCCCTGGTTGAGGGCCTGGACTCCTGCTGGGACAGGGAATTGGGCACCGTAATGCCCTTACCCTATACATAAAGGAAAGCAGCAGGAACACATTGGATCACATACACTTGTGCTGGTTTAGGAGGAGGTGGATGCTGAGGAGAAGTGCGAAGGCAGAAAGGATGCATGTGGTGTTGGGGACAGTTGCAAGTGTAAGCACTGTGGCAGTGGGAAATGCCCCCTCCTGTTGCCACACAGCAATGTCCTGAGGGCAGGGAGGCTGGAAGTTGAAGTGTTGACTTGGCCTTGGCCATGGCAGTGATGGGGATGTGTGAGGATCAGGTCTGGAGTGCAGTCAGGGCCTCATATGGACCAGACATGGTGCTCATAAGTCTGTGAGTGACAGCAGAGCCATTCTAGGCTGTGGGGAGAGGACAGAGGTGACTGACTTATTTAACAGGATTCCCGGTTTTAGGGAGAACATGGGGGGGGGAAGGAGTTGGAGTTTACATGGAAGAAGGATACAATAGAAGACCTAGCACAATGGTGCAAGGAGACATAATGCCTAGTTGGCCCAGGACTAACCAGCAGGGGCCACAAAGGTGACAAACGCATCCCCAAGGATCCCTTCCCAGGCTAGATGGGAGAGGGGAGAAGCCAATCAGTGGAGTGCCAAGGAATGACAGTGGTCCTTCCAGTGCCAGATAGAGTAAGGGGGCTGAGGTCTTTGTGAATATGCCAGGGGCTTAAGTGTAGACATCACCAGTTCAAATTTCACAAGTTTTGCAGACGACTAGTTCATGGTTAGATTAGCTAGTCTGGAGTTCTGGTGAGGGGCATGTGTGTGAATGCAAAGAAAAATAGGTCAATATATATAGATCCACCCGCACACATATTCAGGAAGAGAGGTAGGTGACAGCTGTGTGAACTGCGTGGCAGCTGTATTTTGTTGTTTGTCTTTCGTGGAAGATCACCCTAAATAGGTACTAGTTTTTGGTTTGGTATCACAAAGCCAAAAATGAAACTGAATGCTGAACAGTGATAGCCCAGGATTATTCAGGGGCTGAAGAACAGAGAAGCAGGAGCTCAGCTCCAATTCATCCCTCAGCCTCAGGGACTGGGAGTCCAGATGTAGAGTGGGATCCTGGAGGCTGATCATGGGAGGGTTACTCACATCTTTCCAGGGGATAGAGGCAGGTGCCACCTCTTTCCCTCCTTTTATGGACTGGTGTTTCCTGGCATGGGAGCAGGAGGTGCCTTAACACTTGCAAAGGGGAGGAGAGACTAGGAAAGTCTTAGATGAATCAACGCGGTATACAATTCTGAATGCAAGCTGTCTCAAGTGATCAGCATGTCTGCACATAGAGCGCAGGAGAATTCTCAGTGTTCTAGTGAGCAAAGGAGACAGATTCATACAGTCAGGGATGTGAGGTATTTGAAAAAATCTCATCTCTATCCCCTTCATGTATCTCTGAGGACCTATGGGAGAATCATAGTTTTCAGTACTGTAGTCTTTCAGTCCTTGGAAAGTGATCCCAGTACCCCTTATCTCCCACCTCAGACATCAGAATTGTCCACAGCTCAGATTGGGCACAGTAATGACACATTGCTCCTCCACTAGAGGTTAGAGATTTTCTTAAATCAACCAATAGAAAGTGGAAACAGGGTGTCTCAGCTTTCCTTTGGTAATGGGTAGATAGACAGATGACAGATAGTGGTGCATAGATGACAGATAGCTGCTGGGGTGACCCCTGAGTGTATTAGCAGAAGACAGAACCGGGTTGAGGGACAGAGCCCAGGGATACTCTGGAGAGCAGTGATTGGGGATGATAGGAAGCAGAGACAGCTTGTGCAGGGACCCACAGACAGTGTGTGTTCCTAGAAGGCAAAGGAAGGGGTCACAAAACAGGTGGGATGGTGTCACATGGTGACACCTGAAGTATCTTAAATGACCTCACCTTGCAGATGAGGGAAATGGACCCACAGAGTCTCATATCAGATTGGGGGGGGTGGACTGGATTCACACTCAGGGCCACAGCTCTTATTATGGTCTCTTCCCAGCACCTCTGGGCCATTCCAGAACCTCTGGCTGAGGCACATACTCTCTGACACTACATGAATTGGTTTGTTTTTCTCTTTCTCCCCAGGGTTACACTCCCAGCCCTCTATCTGGGCAGTGCCAGGAGCTGTGATGCCCAATGGTAGTTCTGTGACCATCTTCTGAAGGGTCCCTCCAGGGGTGACAAGGTTGTATCTCTTTCGTGGGGAACCCAGTGACATGTGGCATGATGTCAACTCTGAAGGAGCCCAAGGTATTGTTGAGTTTCCCCTTCAAGATGTGGTATACACAAATGCAGGGATGTACCACTGCATCTACTGGAAGGGAGGAGTCTGGGCAGGATTCAGTGAGTCACTGGAGCTGACTGTGACAGGTAAGGGATGGCCCAGGACACTGTACCCTTGTATTAGTGTCCATCTCACTGGATGATCTTCTGGATCATATAGCCCACCCTGTTCCTTTGCCCCCAGTCTGTGAGAGTCTGGGCTCCTTCTGTGCCAACTCTGTTCCAGGATCCTTAGATAGATGGCTAGGAGCCCCAACAACATACCTCATGAGGACAGACACCAGGCTTTCCTGTACATATCCAGCCACTGCCTGGGTCATGGGAAATAACACAAGTGTGCTTTGCCTTTGTGGTGCCTGTAAATTTTCTAGAGGTGAATTTCTTCCCAGTTTCATCCTTGCCTCATTCAGACAAGGAGTATAGTGGGGTTATTTTAACAACACTCTCTGTTCCTCTCCAGGCATTTACAAGGACAAACCCTCCCTGACTGCTCACCCAGGGCTCCAGGTGGTGGCAGGAGGGAACATGAAGCTCCTGTGTGAGACACCTCACTTTTATGATGACTTCATTCTCTGCAGAGACAGAGGTGCTTCCTTTCTCCAGGACTGTTCACACCAGGCCCATGGCTCATTCCTCATCTCCTCGGTGAGCCTGGCTGAAGGTGGGACCTACAGGTGCTTATGTCTCAGAGAGTATATGGCTCCCTCTGGTCCCTGCCCAGCGACCCTCTTGACCTTTCCTTCACAGGTGAGTAAAGTCTACAACTGACGCCTTTGTCCCTGTCCTCTGTATGACTGAAGAGGAGTTTCAGCTCAGGGGTGAGAACTACTTCCTGTGTTGTAGCATTGTACATGGGACACATATACAGTCACTTTAAACTGCAGAGGTTGGAGTTGGAGTCTTCACTTAGGATACCTGGGTCCTCACCTAGGTGGGACAAAGCAGTGATGTTGGCCTGTGTGAATGAGCCTGACTCATTGAGTCCAGGGTGGGTTGGACAGAAAATGACTGAACAGTGACTAGGACAGATCCTATGGTTATTCTTATAGTCCCATGGAAACCCTGTGACAACGTGCTGTTACTGAATTTCTGAGTAGGAGTTCTGTTATGGCTTGTTCTAGATGTCCCTGCAAAGCCTCATGCAGTAGTAGATGGGTCTTTCTCAGAGGTGGCTGGATCTAGAGTGTGTGATGCTGAGATTAAAGGTGTGTGATTAGTAAAGCAGTCCACTGAGTGGCTTGGTATTGTCCTAATCCTGGTAGTCTAGATAGAATATAAAGGGTGAAGAAAGAAGCTGCCAAGGCCCTTTTGTTTGCTTGCCATGAACTCTTTCTCTTCTATGATGCCCCCCTGCAAAGCCACCCTGCTTTGGAACCAGCCAACTGTGGATTGAAACCTCTGCAAATGGTAAGCTAAATAAACCTTTGTTCCTTTAACTTTGAGTGTTGAGTATTTTGTCCCAGCAATGAGAAAGAAATTAAGACAGAATTTGTTACCAGAGAAGTGGAGTTGTTGCTGTGACCACACATGACTATGGTTTAGGAGCCTTTGGAAATGAACTGTGGGAAGAATTAGGAAAGGTTTGGAGATGATGGCCGAGAAAGCAGAGTTGTAATGCTTGAGGCTGTATTTGATGGGAGATTCTGGTCAGAGCTCAGAAGATCAGAATGCTAAGAGAAATTCTGCCAGTAAAGACCAGGTTCAGGAGGTCTTTGCTGGGAAGAGGGATGGCATTGATTGCTGCACTCAGGCAATCTGTGTTATGGCTTGGCAGAGAGAGAGTGTCTGCATCTTGTTGTATCCAGAGACTTTGCCAGAGACTGAGATTGAGGGTGATGGACTAATTCATCTTGCAGGAGAAATTTTGAGGCAGTCTAATGTTGAAGCAGTGGTATTCCTACTATTGGGAGCTTTGTGGGCAGATTGCTGTGGAAAGTTGAGAACAAAGAGCTCAGTAGATTGATTCAAAATGTGGATTTACCAGAAAAGAAGCTCCAGTAAAGTTGGGACCTGAAAAGATGGAATAGAAGAGAAATTGGTTGCTGAAAAGACTAGAAAGAAAAGACCAAGTATTTCAGAAGACAACTCAAAAGATAGCCCAAGGATATCACAAGAACCAGCAGGACTCTGGCCTTGGAATTGCAAAGGTGAAAGATTGTGCATTGAGAACTCCTGAGCACTGTGTTTCAGCATGGTGGCAGCCTAGTGAAGTTGTTACTTGGGATTTGGTTCACAAGCTAAGAGAGAAGGAAGCCTGGCTACTGCTCTAGCTGGCAGCAGATGTTGGCATCATTTACATGATGCTGGTTTTAGGTGCATGCAGAATGCAAGAACTGTGGGATCAGGAAAGCTTCCACCCAGAGTTCAGAAGAAGGCGTGAAGGCAGTGTGTGGAGCTGTGAGTGTGAAGTTGAAGGTATGGTGAAATTTGGAGAATCCAGGAATATGAATTGTCTGAGGAACACTGAAAGGAGGGAGCAGGACCAGCCCAAGAGAGAAGCTTTGGGAGCTACAACCACTAGCACTGTCATAGGGATGGAACAACCAAGCCTTTTGGAGTTCACATCTGGTCACAGATTACTTTGGATGCTGGACAAGCAAATACAGGGTTAAATGTTGGTCCATTTGGATTTTGGTCTTGCTTTGTTTCCATTCCTTTCTTTTCTTTTTTTCTTTTTTTGGTCTTTTTCCTTTTTATCGGTACCAGGGATCGAACTCACGACTGCCTGCTTGCAAGGCAGGCACTTATGCCACTGAGCTAAATTCCCAGCCCCCATTTCCATTCCTTTCTATCTCTCTCTCTTTGCCCATTTTGGAATGGAAATATTTAACTTTCTCTTCACTTATACAGGGCCTCACAGATAAGAGTTCACCTCAATTCTCAGAGGAGACTTTGGATTTGGACTTTGTAGCAGTGATGAAATTGTTATGACTTTGGTGACTCTTGGAGATGGACTAAATGCCTTTTGTGTGAAGGAATATACTTGAGTCTTCAGAGGTCCAGGGCCAGAATGTTATGGTTTGTGTCTAGATGTCCCTCAAAACCTCTTTTGGTCATAGGGGAAGCTTTCTCAGAGGTGGCTGAATCTAGAGTGTGTGATGCTTGGATTAAAGGCGTGCAATTACTAAATCAGTCCACTGATTGCTTTGGCACCACCCTAATCCTGGTAGTCTGGATAAAATATATAAGGGGGAAAAAGAAGCTGCTAAGGTCCCTTGCTTGATTGCTCTTGCCTGCCTGCTTGTGTTGATTAGTCCCTTAGGATGCCCCTCTGTCAAGCCACTCTGCCTTGGAGCCACCTGACTATGGACTGAGCCTCTACAAACTGTGAGCTAAATAAGCCTGTTCTCCTTTAACTTTGGGTGTCAGGTATTTTGTCCCAGCAATGAGAAAGCAACTAAGAGAGTTTTGTACTCTATGAGAGGTGTTCTACTGTTCTGATTGATGGATGTTTAAGGATGAACAATATTCTTTTATGTTGACAAGTAATAAGAACTACACAGGCAAAACAGCACAATAGATGTTTATGTGCATAAGTGAGGGTTTAGATGTCAGAGGAAGGAATAAGTGTTGATAATGACAGGAAGATGACTTATTGTGTCTCACTAAAAATGGTGAATACAGTCATAAGTCTTATGAGAAGGTTGAAAATGGTAAAGATTAACTGTGAAAGCTTCCCAGCATCTACTCTGGATTCTTGACTATGCACATAAAGTACAGTTCTGTTAGACTACTAAACAGCATATGTAACTGTGCAAAGTAACAGTAGCATGTGTGTTCTACTGTATATAGCATATACAATATCCTTTTGGGCCTAAGTGCCTCATGTCATACCCTGTATTTCATATTTGAGGAACATATGCTTTCTATTTGTATTATGAGACCCATGTTTTCTTGTGCTGTTTCATTTTTAGAGACAATTTTCAGAAGGCACTTGCAGTTTTTTGAGTTTTCTTAATAAATTAAGTTGAAAAATAATTTAAAAATTAATGTGTATTAATTATAGGCTGTGCATGTTTCTTTCTGTTGCCTAACTTCTCTCACTAAAATGACAAGTAATATATTGAACAGAAGCAGTGAGCAAGGATACCGCGTATCTTGTCCCTGATGTTGGAGGAAATGCTTTTTCCAATCAGTAAGATGTTAGCTGATGTTAGTGTCTGTTGAGTGTTGCTTCTATTATGCTGTGGGAGCACCCTTCTACAACCAGTTTATTTGGTGTTTTTATTATGAAATGGAGTTGAACACTGACAGAGATTTTTCTTTGTTTTTTGAGGCAGGGTCCCACTGTGTAGTTCAGAATGGTATTGAACTTACTATGTAGTCCAGGCTGGTCCTGACCTCATGGTGGTTCTCCTGCTTCAGGTCCCCCATGCTGGCGTGCCACCACACCTGGCCAGAGAAGATCACATAATTTTTATCCTTAAGTTTATTTATGTGTGGCACTGCATCTGTTGACTTAAGTGTGTTGAAATTTCTTTACATTTTTAGAATCAATCATGGCGTGTGATCTTTCTATGTGCTATTGAAGTCAGCTTGTACATATTTTACTGAGGGTTTTTATGTCTGTTTATTAAGGAGTTTTGTAGTTTTCTTTTTTTGTTGTGTCCTTACCTTTTTGGAATTAGAGAGATGATACTGACTTCATAGAATGAATTTGAACATATTCCTTTCGTTTGTATTTTATGAGATAGCTCAGAAACACTAGCATTAGTTCCTTAAAGTTTTGGTGAAACTCAGTGTAGCCCTGAGCTTTTCTTTGTTGGGAGACTTTATATTACTACTTCTGTCCCATTGATCTGTTTATACTTTTGATATCTCCTTAGTTCATGTTGTACATCTTTTGTTTTTTTTATCGGTACCGGGGATCAAACTTACAATCACGTGCTTGCAACGCAGGTGCTTATGCTGCTGAGCTTAATCTCCAGCCCCTCCTGTTGTATACTTAAAGCATATAGGAAATTATCTGTTTTTTTTCTAGATTTTCTCACTTATTGGAGTATGTTTTCAAAATGGCCACTGATGACTCTGGATTTCAAGTAACTTTTATAGCATTGCTTCTCACCTCTAATTTTATCAAACTGGGTATTCTCTTACTTTTGGCTAATTTGGTTGGGTTCTTGTTAATCATTTCAAATAATCAACTTGTTTCATAGATCCACAGAGATGGTTCTTTTTTTTTTTTTTTTTTTTTTTTTAATTTTTATTTAAGGAGAAAAGAAAAGAAAAAAAAACAGTGAAGGGTACAAGTTATACAGATTTACAGAAGAAAAAAAATGCGCAGTAGGAAATCACTAGTTAATAGATTACATATTGCCATCTTAGAAATAATTGTTCAAGTCACAGAATTAAAGTTTGTAGAGTGGACATTCCAGCAATGATACTGCAAACAGTTCTGTTCAATGATCCATTAGAACTCTGTGATATCATTTTCTGTCTTATACATTTAAATATACATGCAGTTATATAGTTTAGAGCATTTTCTTTTCCTCTCTTTTGTACAGTGACTATTACACATTTTGGGTTTCATTGCTCCCACTGTTCTTATTGCTTTTTTGGAAGAGAGTAAAACCAAATGTGACATGACAGAACAGAATCGGTCAAGTCAAAAGGGTGGATATAATAGATAATATAAAAACATAATACAAGGTGATCAACAATGGTTACCCTAATGCCTCCCGCTATTTCTAATAGAATTGCCTATATCGTTAGTTGTAATACTATTGAACAAAACCGTAAAGGATAAAACCGACAAAACCAAAACATTGGAGATATTGTAGGTCTTCAAAAGTAGATAGAAGTCAACGAGAATGGGCGTTATAATGAATCTCATTATCTTCTCAGCTGATGCCTAAACTTTCGAACCTGATACTATTCAGCAAAACAGAATAGAGGAACCTCAGTCAAAAACAAGATGGTGAGAGTAATACAGGGCTTCAAATCGAGAAAATAGAAAGTCAAAGTGGGTTACTATATTATATCCTGCTATATTTTTCCCTTTAATTAAATGGATAACAATAAAAAAGTATATAATGGAGTGGAGATTGAGAAAAAGAAAAAGAGGGCATAACAGCGAAACAGGGCAGATCAAAACATAACCTTTTAAGCAGAATAGTGTTTCACCACCAGATATTTCCGACTTAAAAATAGTTACCATATTGACTCCCTCCCTGAAGTCCTTGAGTACAACTTCATATACTGTAGCATTAAGTATATCAAAACAATGTAAAACCATTTAAGAGAATGACAGCATTATAGAGTATTTGGAATTGACTAACAGAAAATGAACAATGGTCTCTGTATAATCTCCTTGTCTTTAAAAGGTTTTTGCTTATACTAACGTACATAACAAAATCCAATAAGATACAACCTGGTTAGACCTTTGGAGACAGAAGAACAAAAGCTAGATGAGACTTCAAAACAAGATGGTACTGAATCAGCATTACCTATTAAGATGTCATTTTCTCAAAAATAGCTGTTCCTATCATCCAATCTTCTCTGTCTCATTTCTGTTGAGCTCTTTTTCTGTCAGTAGCTGTCAGTTTGTCTTCTTCATTTTGTTCTCTGCTCCATTCGTTGTGGCCTCCCTGCCACTATTTCTGGGTTCTTTGTATTTTTCTTTTTTTAGAATATCCTGCAATACTTTCTGTAGAGTAGAATTGGTGGTTGCAAATTCCCCCAGTTCCTCTTTATCCTGGAAGCACCTCGTTTTTCCATCAATTTCCAGGGACAGTTGTGCAGGATATCTCAATCTTGGCTGGAGATTATTATCTTTCAAAGCTTGAATTATTTCCCCCCATGCTCTTCGTGATTTGATGGTTTGTGAAGAGAAATCTGCTGTAATTCTGATGGGTGTTCCTTTGTAAGTGATCTGTTTCTTGTCTCTTACAGCTTTTAATATTCTGTTCTTGTATTGAATTTCTGGGATTTTTATTATTATATGCCTGGGTGTTTCTCTGTTAGGGTTGTAGGTAGCTGGGGTCCTGTATGCCTCATACAGCTGAGTATCTTTACCTTTTGCTAAATTAGGAAAATTCTCCTGGATTATTTCTGTGAGTAGCTTTTGTAATTCATTTGTTTGTGTCCCTACTTCTTCTTCTATGTTCTTAATCCTTAAGTGGTGGCTCCTCTTATCATCTTCTTGTCTTTGTATTATTGCTGTTTGTTTCTTTGTTATTTTTAAGAAGTTTTTCATTTCATTCTCCCATATTTCAAGTCTGCCCTCCAGTTCAGATAGTCTGTCCTTAGTTTCTTTCAAGCTGTTATGCCAGTCTTGTATAGACTTATTAATTTCTTGATAGTCCCTTTGAACCTGCTTCACATACTCGATGCTTTCTCTGTTTTCTCCATCAAGCAATTCTCTCCTCTTTTTCTGTTCTTCCATTCCACCATCTGTTTTTTCCTGGGTGGTGTTTAGCATTTCTCTAACTATTCTGCATACTTCTAGCTTCAGATCATTGATAACTTCATTCCTGAATTGGTCTATGAGGCTCTCAATATGGTGCTTAATGTATACTGGTGCGGCGTCCATTATTGCCTGTTTCTCAGGATTGGGGGCCGAGGAGCTTTTTTTGTTGCTTCCCTTCCCCATATTTTTTGTTCCTTATAAAATGCAATCTTACAAAGGAGGCCCGGCTTCCCTGCCTGTCAGCCACAGCCTGATCAAATTGCGCTGGCTAGTTGTTCCCGCCCACCGCTGCGCACCAGGGAGTCGGAGGAGGCAGCCTACGCGGAAGTCAGTCGCTCCTCCGGGCCATCGTCCGGCTCTGGGATCTGGGTTAGGCTAGTCTAGCCTAGAGAGTCCGCCAGCAGCGTCACTCAGGCCAGGCACTTTTCTCCAATCCCGTCCGAGAGGGGAATGGCGCCCAGAGAGATCTCCGCTAGAGTCAAACTGTGGTGGGGGGTCAGATTCTCACTCACCTCGCCACCAGTCAGTTTTCGTGTACACCTCTGTCCGTCCTTTTTTTTTTCGACTCCGTTCTCCCGTTCCCAGAGCTCGGCGCTCCCAGAGCTCGGCGCGTCTCTCCTTGCTGAGCCGCTGTGGAGATAGCCGGCCGCCGCACGGCGGGAAATCCAAACCGGTTTCCGATGGCGCGGAGTCGAGCCTCCACACCGAGATTTTTCTGTTCCTATTTTAGCGCCAGGACTGTATTCCAAGTTGGATTCTCTCAGCCCAGTTCGTTCCTGAGTCAGCAGAGCATATCTCTACTGATTCGTGTCTCCCTAGTCCGCATTATTTCTGGCCTCTGAGCCGAACCTTTCAGAGAGCCTCTGGTAGTTGCTGTTGTCTGTCCGCCATGTTCTCTGGTCTCCCCACAGAGATGGTTCTTTGCAAGTATAAAGAAGATTGGTAAGCCCTCAGCCAACCTTATCAGAAGGAACGAAGAGGCTTATATCAATGCAACTAGAGATAAAAAAGGCAAAATCACAAAAGACATTGCAAAAAATTCAGAGGATTAAAGGAATCTACTTTGAAAACTATTCCGGTTGGAGCAAATTATATTACGTAGAAGAAATGGGTAATTTCATAAGTGTTTCATATGAATTACCAAAACTAAAGAAGACAAAAAAATCCTGTGCAGATCAAGATAGGCATTGATCCAGTCTGTTGATGAGAGATTTTTTACTTCTTTTTGGTATTGGGGATTGAACTCATGATCTCATGCTTGCCAGGCAGGTGCTTATGCCACTGAGCTAAATCCCCAGCCCCTGAGGAGAGTTTTGACTGAGACGTTTTGTTGAGGTTTTTATTTGATTGAACTTTTTACTTCTGATTTTTTCTTGGTTTTGTTTCCAGAATTTTTTTAGTTTTTAAAAAATTGTTTATTTTAACATTAAAAAAACAATGCAAGAGGGGCTGGGGATTTAGCTCAGCGGCATAAGCGCCTGCCTTGCAAGCAGGCAGTCGTGAGTTCGATCCCTGGTACCAATAAAAATGAAAAAGGCCAAAAAAAAAAAAAAAAAAAAAACCAATGCAAGAGACACATGCAAGTAGTGTTTGCAGAATTTTTATCTCTTTCATAACCTGTACTGTCAATTTTATCTCATTCAGTTTTTATCTATATCTTCTTTGAGTTCTATGATAACTTTACAATTATTCCTTTGAATCCCTATTTTGTTATTTTGCCCATTTTATTATTAATTTGATTCAGTTTCTGTATAAATATTGTTTTATCGCAGTCATGTGGCCTCAATTATGTATATTTTTAATGTTTCTTCATATTTATGCAAGTGCTGGAATGAGAATCTCTTCCTTTTAAGAGAAAGTCTTCTTAGGAAGAAGGTTTGCCTTGGGATATTGGTCTATTGTGTAGTGTTGAGTTTAGTTCAAGTGAATTCAATTCTGGAGCATCGCTGTCACTAATGAGTGAATGAGTGTCAGAGCCTAAATGACCTACTCTCCCTGCACATCTCATAGAAGTGTGATCCCTCTGGTAAACAGGGCTTGTGTCCTTTAAAGGTAAGGTATGTGGGTGGATGGCCAGTGCATAGCTCTACAATTTTGCCAGAACACTGTGCTACTAAAGATTATGGGTCAAACTTGGTTGGAAGGTCTTCAGTTATTGTGCCTGTTTTGGGGGCAGTTCACGGATGGTGTTTTTTTTTTTTTTAAATCTCCTTGGTTATTTATCTGCTAAGGCTAGGTTCCTGGGATAATTTAGCACATTGATTTACTTCCTTTGGGTTAAAAAATATCATTTTAAAGGTCTTGAATTGGGGAGCCAATTGTGGTCTTTGTTTTACTCTCTGTTATGGATTAAAAACTGATGGTCAACTTAACACCAGATGAGTTAAATCAACATGGTGCTGAGCATAGATGGTCCAGCTGAGGAAAGTTGCCAACATAAATACAGACATGGAGAAGATGAGTGAGGCATTGTGGGTTTCTCTAAGTGTTTCTGTTTGAGCCGTTGGTTGTCCTGGAGGAGCTCGTCATGACTAGCTTCCTGGTGTGGTTCGACCATTATCATCAGAGGCGCTTGGGACCTTGTTGGTGAGAGTGGCTGTGGTTTACTTTGATGGAGCTCTGGTCTTTACATTGAGTGTCACTTCTTAGCTCCAGAGGGGAAAACATGTGCCATTTAATCTTCAGGAGAAACTTATGCTGGCTTTCTGGCATGTATTGGACTGTGCTTATCACTGGAGGGACTCAGGACCGCTGTCACTGAGGATGGCTGTGGTACATTTCAAAGAAGCCTTGGTCTTGATTTTGAGCATGACTTCTTGGCTCCAGTGTAGAACTCTCAACCTACCAGCACAGCTTCTTCACCCCACTGGTATAGACTCTCTAGCTTCTACCACTGACCTTTGGGTCTTCCTAGTGCAGATCCATAAAACAGACTGGCGTGAGTACTTTCTGTAGGCTCCAGACCTTCAGTTAGACTCATGGGAGGGATTGTCATGGGCTCTTGGCCTTCATCTGGACTCATTCAGGGAATTGCTGTGGGATCTAAGCCCTTGGCTAAATATTCTGTCTTCAGTGTTTTGGACAGATTTCCTGCATTATCTTGTGTTACTCTGGGTGACCATCATAAAACAATACTATAAATTCTGTGTCCTGATTCTAGTTGTTCTCCTCACAACCACTGACTACAGCACTCTCCAGTTGTGCATAGACCAGGCATTTTTTTTTGAGAAAGAGTATCGCTATATAGCCCAGGCTGCCCACAAACTCACAGTGAGTTTCCTACCTCAGCCTTCTGCGTGCTGAGATTGCAGACGTGTGCCGCCATGCTTGGCTAGCTCCAGTGTTCTCGATATGCGGTCCTTTATGTCTCAAATGGGAAAAGTGATGTGCTTTTCATAGTGACAGTGTGGATGTGACAGCTACTCAAACTCAACATCCCATTTGGATTCTGTGTGGTTTACATATGACCCTCACATTCCTGGGGTGAGTTTGTATGCTGGTGGTCCTATGCTCAGTTCTTTTTCTTTCTTCCCCAGATTACAGGGTGGAGAGTGTCATCCAGTTAAGCCTGGTTGCCCTTGTCCTCTTAGTCCTTGTGGCTTTGTTGGTGGATACCTGGAAGAACAGAAGAGGCCTGTAAGATGCAGCCAGCAAGCCCAGCCTGGGAGACCTGCAACTCTTCCTAGTCCACATCAAAGTGCTGAAACAGAATCTTCAAGGACAAGGGATCCATTGATTTTGTGTTCAATGTTTCAGGATGGCACAGAGCCCCGTAATTCTTTTGATATTTTTAGTTTTTTTAATTTTTATCTTTTATTACCCTGTGTTTGCAGTACACAATGCTTACACTTCCTGTGATGAGTTGGTACATGAACACAAGACATCTTAATTCCTATTTCATCCCCTCTCCTTCCCTCTCCCAGCTCTCTATCTCCTCCCACTTGGCAACAGCTGTAGCTCCTCTTTCCTAGTATCTATATTTTATTTTCTCTTTATTTATTAGCACATTCTTTTCAGATTTCATAATAGTTTGGAGGTACAGTTCTCCATACACCACAATGTTTATCTTGTTTTTCGTTTAGCTTGGGTCTGATAATGTTCTCTGAGGCCTGTTTCTCATTCCTGCTTCAGTCTATGACTTTTTCTACAAAACTCTATTCTCATTCTTCTTTCCAATTTTCTATACTTCATCCATTCAGATCTCTCACCCTAGTCTTCTCTTATTGCACCTTCCCCCAGGATGCTGGGACTCCACCCTCTTTCAGCTTCAGGTTTGCAAGAATCCAGCTCCAGCATTAGGCACAGAACTGACACACAGACCCTGTGTCCCTGCATTGATGAGGTATGGGCCTCTCTCTCGAGGAAGAGCAGGACTCACCTAGTGTTGGTTCTGCTGCAGTGGAACCTCCTGGTGTTCAATGGTGTTCAATGTGTGTCATACACACACTTGTCCTCAGTGGTTGTGAAATTAAAGTGTGAACTTTTCCGGGTTTATGCAAACCATGTTAGGAAAATTATACATAATCCATCTCTTATACCATAACCTTACCTGCTTTTTTAAAAGTTGTGCTTGACATTGGTCCTTCCACAATTCATGACTTTTAAATAAGAGGAAATTTCCCTAAGCATCTTTTTCTATTCTTCACATTGTAGAATTGTATTCTTCACATTTCTATTCTTCACATTCTATTCTTCATCAGTAAGAAAGGGAGAGTGACATTAAAAACATCTGTAGTCTTGGAGGATGGGTTCTCCACGCAGCAGAGCCTTCATCCTCTGTCTTCTGGCTCCTCTCTGATGTTCTTCTCGGGTATCTGTTCTCATTTCCACACTTGTCTGAGTGGTTTTTCTCCCTGCACATCTGTTTTTCTCTTCCTGTTTCCCAGTCTTCTGTCCCTCATTCTCTCACTGTGGCCTTTCTTTAATCTACCCAAGCCCTGTGACCCCAGCACAGTGTCTTGGCCAGAGTTGCCATGCATCCTTTCCCACTTGTGCTCCTCCACTGCACTCCAGCTCTGAGACTACCAATGTTCCCCTCCTGAGTGCACAGCTGGTGAGCAAGTGGACCTTGCTGTGCTTGGGACAGGAGTTTCAGAGATTCTCTGGGAGGCTGGTGTGGGATGCATCTCAGCACTTCCCACTATGACCCACTGGACTCCCTGTGTGCTCTTGTGAGAAGATCCCTGTGTGTGCCACTGCAGTGACAAGCAGGTGGTCTCATCACAGATTCAGGGTGCTGTGTAAGTGACTTATGATGTAAGACACCAAATGTGGGGGTTATGGAAGGAAATAATCAGGTGAATCCTAGTAGAGTCTTCTTCAATAAATAATTTAATGTTCAATTTTGCATTTGGTTGTTGTTTTTGGAGTACTGGGCCAAATTTTGAAGATTTTCAAGACTTGAAAAGGAAAGCAGAGAACAAATATAGATAGTTAGCTTCTGTCCTGCAGCCACTTTCTTGTAATGGAAGGAAGGAAAGGTGCAAAAATGTTAATCCAGCATAACATGTGATGCATTAATTACTTGTTCCAAGGATGAGGAGACAAGGGATTGAGGAGATGGGAATTGAGGCCTCGCTGGAGGGTGACTTTGGTGTGATCCACTTGATTTTTTGGGTGCATGAGCTCAAGTCACTTCCAGATGAATGAGGAATGGGACCATGGGATTAGACCGGTGAACAAGGCAACATGGCCTTGGGGGTGGCTTTTCCTTCCCATCAAAGCCATTTGGTGAACACCTCCTTCTCCAGTCACTGTGGGTAAGGGGGCAGTGTTCTCAGCCATGCACAGAAGCACACACACCTATTTCAACACAGGTCTGGGGTGTCTGTGGGTGCTGTGCTCTAGGTACAGCTTGGGCTTGGGGGCACTTTCTGAACCTCCTCTTTCAGCAATAGCCAGCCTTGTATTTCTGGGGACTCAGGGACCAGCTGAGTGCCTCTTTGCTTACAGATGCATGAGTTCAGTTCCCATGTCATTATCCAAATTATAGCAATTGTGTTGGCCTTGTTCTCCCCAGAAATGTTCCAAAAAGTTCTTGCAAACTTAAATTCTGAACAATGGCCAGTTATGTTTATTTTCCTTCCTTCTTGAGTGCCGTAGTCCTGCACTTAACCCACCCCAGGGAACATGTTGTTTAGGATGGTGTGTCTATCATGATTTGCTGAAAAGCCTAGGACAGGAATAATTTCTCTGCAGATAGAAACAGGGGTCTTAAATCCAGAGTATCAGTCATTCTCTGGAGGTGGTTACAGCTGATGCCCTTCCTTCCTGTCAGATTTTATACAATTTAACTGTAAGGTTACATTTTAGAGCTTTTCCGGGTGGTGGGAAATGTGGGTGGTTGCTCATTTCTTGGAACTGAATCTTTACTGTAGAAATGAAAATTTTCCCGAGTAAACAACTCCAGCCAGTCAAATGAATTACAATGGGAAAAATCAGAATCTCCACCAAGTTAAGAAATACAGTGTTGGGTCACACTTCGAATTGGAAAAAAATCTTATGAAATTAATCATATGTGTGTTTTCATAATGACATGAAATATCCAATTGAATCTTTTTCATGAAAGTCTATCACAAATATTTAATGAGAAGTAAGATAAATTTTTAAAATGCAAGGAGGCAACAGGTATTCAAGAGTTTACATACTCCCCGAGGACACAGAATGCTCCTATCACCTTAAGTGAATTAACATTTCCATTCCAAAATCTTGCAATGATGTCGCCATGAAGAGAGATTTGTAGGGCAGCATCCTTGGGCTGCAATAACTCAGGAGAAGCTTTCATCATTAAACACACTGTAGAGGGATGAGTAACATGGAAGGAGCAGTGACCTTCACATCTTGATGAGATCCCAGAGAAGTATATTTGGTGGCACCTGCTTCTGCAAGGGTGTACCTGTCACCTCTCAATATCTAAGCCACTCTTTCAATTCATGTGTTTATAAAAAACAGAAGAGCTATTTTCTTAGCAAATTTGCAGTATGGCAAAAGGGCACTGTCAGTTCTAGGAAATGGGTTCTAAAATATGTCAGAGAAATTTCCTTTACAGAGAACCCATCTGCTACAAAAGTATTAGACTGTAGACACCCTCACTGGCCCCAAATATCCTCCTTGTATTTTCAGATTTGGTTTCTATCTGTAGCCCAGTTAGAGCTATGTCACTCTTCAAATGGATTCTACATGGATAGGTACAGTCTTCCTGGTTGAACCATGCCTCCTTGTCTGTGATGTCTTCATCTCGTGGACAGTAGACCTGCACACCCATGGGACAGAGTCACTCATCTCCCTTGTGATTGTGGTTGGAAGGTCAGAGCAGGAAACCCACTGAAGAACCCAGAGAAGCAGAGGAGGGAGAAGGGCATTGTCTGGCATTGTGCAGGCTCCCTTCCTGTTTATTTATTTATTTTTAAAATTTTATTAAAGGAGAAAAAGAAAAAAAAAGCAGAAAAAGGGTACAAGTTATGCAGAATTTCAGAAAAAAATAAACATTAGGAAATCACTAGTTAATGGATTACATACTGTCATCTTAGAAATAGTTGTTCAAGTTACAAAATTAAAGCATATAAAGTGGACATTCAAACAGTGAGACTGCAAACAGTTCTGTTCAATGATTCAACAAAACTCAGTAATATCATTGTCTATCTTATACATTTAAATATACATGCAGTTACATCGTTTAGAGCACTTTCTTTTCCTCTCTTTTGTACAATGACTATTACACATTTTGGGTTTTATTGCTCCCACAGTTCTTATTACTTTTTTTTGAAGAGAGTAAAACCAAATGTGACATAACAGAATAGAGTCGGTCAAATCAAAAGGGTGGACATAATAGATAATGTAAAAACATAATACAAGGTGATCAACAATGGTTACCATAATGCCTCCTGCTATCTCAAATAGAATTGCCTATATCATCAGTTATAATAATTGAACAAAACAGTAAAGAATGAAACCAACAAAACCAAAACATTGGCGACATTACAGGTCTTCAAAAGTAGATAATAGTCAACCAGAATGGGCATCATAATGAATCCCAGTATCTTCACAGCTGTTGTCTAAACTTTCGAACCTGGTACTATCAAGCAAAACAGAATAGAGGAACATCAGGCAAAACAAGATGGTGAGAGCAATACAGGGCTTCAATCAAGTTAATAGAAAATCAAAGTGGGTTACTATAATATATCCTGCTATTTTTAATTTTTCCCTTAATTAAAAGGATAAAAATAAAAAAGTAAATAATAAAATGGAGATTGAGATAAAAGAGGGCATAACAACAAAACAGTGCAGATCAAAACATAACCATTTAAGCAAAATAGTGTTTCATCACAAGGTAATCCTGACATAAAAGTAGCTACCATATTGTCTATTTCCTTAAAATCTTTGAGTATAACTTCATATACTGTAGCATCAAATATATCAAAACAATGTAAAACCATGACAGTATTACAGGGTATTTAGAATCAACTAACAGAAAATGAATGGTTTCTATATAATCTCCTTGTCTATAAAAGTTTTTGTTTATACTATCACATATAATAAAATCTAATAAGATACAACATGTTAAGACCTAAGGAGACAGAAAAACAAAAGCTTGATGGGACTTCAAAACAAGATGATACTAAATCAGCATTACCTATTATGATGTCGTTTTCTCCAAAATAGCTGTTCCTATCATCCAATCTTCTCTGCCTCATTTCTGTTGAGCTCTTTTTCTGTCATTAGTTGTCAGTTTGTCTTCTTCATTTAGTTTTGTGCTCCATTCATTGTGGCCTCTCTGCCACTATTTCTGGATTCTTTGTATTTTTCTTTTTTAGAATATCCTGCAGTATTCTCTGTAGAGTTGAATTGGTGGTTGCATATTCCCCTAGTTCCTCTTTATCCTGGAAGCACCTTCTTTTTCCATCAATTTCCAGGGATAGTTGTGCAGGATATATCAATCTTGGCTGGAGGTTATTATCTTTCAAAGCTTGAATTATTTCCCCCCACGCTCTTTGTGATTTGATGGTTTGTGCCAAGAAGTCTGCTGTAATTCTGATGGGTGTTCCCTTGTAAGTGATCTGTTTCTTTTCTCTTATGGCTTTTAATATTCTGTTCTTATATTGGATTTCTGGTATTTTGATTATTATATGCCTGGGTGTAGCTCTGTTTGGGTTGTAGGTGGCTGGGGTCCTGTATGCTTCATACATCTGAGTATCTTTACCTTTTGCTAAATTAGGAAAATTCTCCTGGATTATTTCTGTGAATAGCTTTTGTAGTTCATTTGTTTGTGTCCCTACCTCCTCTTTGATGTTCTTAATTCTTAAGTTATAGATCCTCTTATCATCTTCTAGTCTTTGTATTATTGCTGTTTGTTTCTTTGTTATTTTTAAGAAGTTTTTCATTTCATTCTCCCATATTACAAGTCTGCCCTCCAGTTCAGATAATCTATCCTTAGTTTCTTTCAAGCTGTTATTCCAGTTTTTGATAGAGTTTTTAGTTTCTTGGTAATCTCTTTGAACCTGCTTCACGTATTCTATGTTTTCTCTATTTTCTCCATCAAACAATTCTCCCCTCTTTTTCTGTTCTTCCATTCCACCATCTGTTTTTTCTTGGGTAGTGCTTAGCAGTTCTCCAACCATTCTGTTTATGTCTTGCTTCAGGTCATTAATTACTTCATTCCTGAACTCGTCTATGAGGTTCTGGAGATAGTGCTTTATGTCTATTGGTGCCGTGTCTGCTATTGCCTGTTTCTCAGGATTGGGGGCCGAAGAGTCTTTCTTGTTGCTCCCTCTTCCCACATTCTTTGTTCCTTATATATGCAAGTGTATATAGGAGGCCCAGCTTCCTTCCCTACCAGCTACAGTCTGATTGAATTGTTCCAGCTAGGTGTTCCCGCCCATCACAGCACACCAGGGAGTTACAGACTGGGCAGCCTATGTGGGGCCCGCCCCTCCAGGTCAACCTACCAAAGGCTTCACTGCTAGGGTGCACCTCCTGGTGCTGGGACCTGGGTTGTACTAGCCTACTAGGTCTCAGCCAGCAGTGTCACATAGGCTAGGCACTGCTCACCAATCCCACTTGAGAGGGGGATATGTGACTGAAGTCACTATAGTGCCCTGTTCTGGCAAGTCTGCCCGGTCCCAGAATGTCCTCTGTTGGAGCCTCCTAGACCGTGGAAGAGCCCCAGTTTCCCTCACTCACTGCAGGTTGATGCACGGCTCCCCGCCCATCCCGCTCTCAACTCCATTCACTGATTCCTGTTCTCAGAGCTTTCACGCATCTCTCTCCCTGCTGAGTTGATTCAGACGCAGCAGCGGAGGCAGGAAATCCAAATCACAGCTTCCACTGGCTCGGGCTCCAGCTT